AGTTATATGCATATTTAGTTGCATCGCGGCAGAGATTCGTTGCTCGAGCAACCGGCCATACACGAACGTATAGCGTTTGGAGTTTGCCGTTTCGCGTTTGACAGTTGACGCGTTCCGTCGCGCAGTCGGGACGCACGGTAATTCTAAAACCTATTCTAGAGTCAAACGCATCGTCGAAACACATATATACGTACATACATGCATAAATGCATGCATACATACATACGTAGTGTATACAGCTAAGAAGTACGCGTTAGAAGTTCGAACTGGATGCAAATTGGGCCTTATACCATGGATTACCTCAATCGCAAGCAGCTTGTCAGTCAAGTGGGAGTTTGCGATAAAACGATAGCGAGCGTTAAGAAGATTTTCAATGGAAGAACGCGCGAGAAACGCTTCGCTGCTTAGTGGCGCGATTCGCCGAGTCCGCGGTTCAGGCTCGCGATGCCAGACTCGACGATTCGCCGTTTCTTTCTCATTGTCAGCGACGAGTCGGCGAGGCGTCGCGCCAAACCACGCGATACATTCCTCTCTCGTCTTCGTCTTCTTCTTTCTTCGTGTTTCGTTTCACCGCGACACCGAGAAAAGAAGAAAAGAGCCAGCGCATCTTTCCTTCCTACATCGACACCTTCTTCTTCTCCTACATCTACACCGTATTTCGATTTTCTTCGATCGGACGTGAATCGCGGAACGAAGCAGCGTAACTGTGAGAAACAAGGCGTGAAGCAGAGAAGAAAGGGAGGTAGGAAGGGAAAATGCGTGAGTTGCGAAAGGGTGGGAAGGAGAGGAATCAGGATGTGGAGAAAGGCGAGAGAAGCGCGTGGCTCGATTGTTAGGGAAAAATCGAAGCGTAGGGAAGACGAGAGGTGTGTTAGACAGAGAGCGGAGAAACGTAGGAAAGTAAGTAGGTAGTTAGAGAGTGATGCGGTGTTCGCTTACTGGATACGCGATAGAGGAGTCACTCGAAAGACGCTTATATGTATGTACTTACTTACTTACATACGTGTGTATGTGCTCGAGAGCGATGGGAAAACGAATTTCTCGCAGCAGCCGGCACTTTTTCACATCCCGCGTACATGCTCTGCTATTATAGCCGCGCGCGCGTGTGTGCGTGTGCGTGTGTGCGTGTGTGTGAGCAGAGTACACAGGAGGAACAGGGTTTCGTCGATCGGAGTCGGGAAAGCAAGCGCAGAGGGGGCAACAGAGAAGAAAAGGAGAACGAAGAAGGGGAGCGGAGGAAATTTCTAGGATCGATCGTTCGGTCGCGTACACCGAAGTAGTCGAGACTGCTCTTACGCGTGTCCGGCCCTCGCAGCGCGCAACACTATATATTTTTTAGCTTCGTAATTGCAAATACACACAACAGGTTCGTTGCATATCGAGAGTTAGTGTGTGCGTGCGTGCGTGCGTGCGTGCGTGCGTGTGTGCGTGTGTGGGTGTGTGCGTGCGCGTGTGTGTGTGTGTGTGAGCAATAGAGAGAGAGGGAGAGAGAGAGAGAGAGATAATAGATGGAAGAAAGTGCTACCTTATGCACAAACAGCCCCCTATGTATTCGCAAGCAGAAGAAGGAAAGCGAAGGAACGCGCCCCCCATTCGACAAGTCACGAATCGCGCGCTAATCTGCCAGTCGTGCAGACTTAACGCTGTATCGTTTCCGTGTGGTATAGTATTCCGTATTTACGCATCGTACGCACCTAACCCATTCAACCGACCCCATTTGCCGGCATCTCCCGCTCCCCTCGAGCCCCGGTCTCTTCGGGCAACGGGGCCCTTCCTGCGAAGATCGTAACCGAATTCGTCAGACGGCCCGCCACCTCGTTTGGCTCTACCATCCCACCGCACCCTTCTAGTCCATTCTCCTCCCACTCCCACTCCTCGTACACCCCACCCGGAAACCCAGACCTATCGGCAACCCTGACCCAACGACGAAGCGCATCAATTAACTATTTGCCGCTTAGCCGTAACCTCGATATCGCTGTGTGTTTCCTTCGTGATATCGTTTTACGTTGACAAGCAGATCGAACGGAGGCGTTTATTTATTTCCCGAATATCGCTTGATGCTCGACATACGTTGTATATCCGAATAAAGAGAATTTCGTTTGGGAAATGAATTTTCCTCTGGTGCTTCATCCTCCCTCGCTCGGATCATGCTCGTTAAGAGGACATGCCGATAACGTTGGTACGTCCGAGTAGCCGCGTAACCGTCCACACCAATTTGCTCGACACCCGTTCCATCAACAGCCGAGTCTTGATTCCGGCGGTGTGGAACGCCAGTTGGTGCAGGTCCGCGTAAAACTAAAAGCCGGAGGAAGAGAAGAAATAGGGGAGAAAGGGGTGTGGGGCGAAAACGAAGGTGTTTACCATGGTAGAGTCTTGTTGGTCGTCGTACGGTAAGTCGGAGAACTCGGGGCTAACCTCGGTACAACGTACGCGCATGGTCCGCGATGGCGTTACCAGAAGCGTCAGATTCGCCCGCTGCTGCACGAAAGCGAAGAAAGCGCTTGTTGAATGAACTTCCGTTCGATCGAAAGGTATCGTAACAATAAGTTAGGAGAGGGGAGAAATCGCTTTGTACCTGTTTTGCTAGGCAGCCGTGCACCTCTTTGAACTGTACAACGATCTCTCGGAAGTCGCGGCTAGCGTTCCATCGTGACCAAGAGAAAACGTACGACGTGGACAATAGAGCCATGCACTCTCTCAGGTGTTTCTCCGCGATCGGGTGTTTGATCGAGAGCCCCTTTAGATAGCTGGCAGCGTCCCGTTCCGGAAAGAGGTCGCATCCAACCTGTTGCAACTGCTGCTGCGAGCAGCTCGCTTGCGTCACTTTGCCAACACGTCTCGAGTGAAAGCGATTAAACGGGAGGGATTACCTCGATCAGAGATTCCAATTCGACGTACTCGCCAAGGATTCGTTTGAGCGGCGTGTTCGCGGCACCGGCGAACGAGTTCAAACAGACACGATCGTCCTACGCGAATCGATCGGATCACGGTCAGCGTTTTCGATACGTCGTTTTCGTATATTGTACGAGTAATACATATTTCTCTATACCCTGACGATGAATTCCGCGTGAACCGTGGCCGCTGTAACTGTGAGTATCGCCCCGGCGAACTCACGGCCGCTCTTTCCCGTTTCCGGCTTCAACTCCCAGCTTTGAAACGGAAGGTTCGCGTACTTGTACGCAGCTATTCCGTGAACTCCCAATCTACCGATCCTAAACGCGATCGTCTGCTTCTCCTCGTTATATTTCACGTCGTGAACGTCCTTGGTCGACCAGCATCTTTTCTCCGGTATCCAATGGGCGATCAACGGCGGTTCGAACCAGAAAATCGAATCGGGCAACCTGTCTCGCAGAACGGAAAAGAACGCAACGACGAAATGTCGTTTCTGAAGCGAGGGGGAAGGGGGAGGGGCGAAACGAATAGGGACGCAAACCGACTTGAGGGTAACAAGAACGAGCGCCTCCATCGCCAGTTCCAAGGCTTTCATCTCAGCCTCGATAACCTCCGGCGTTCTCTCAGAGTCCTCCGGTTGCTGGGGTGTTTCGTACGACCTGTAGAACGGCACGAATTTCGGCTCCTTGGGCAGCTCGACTGCAACGGAGAAACTGAACGAACAGTCTGCGGAGGCACGGGTGAACGGGTGAACGAAGAAACGGGTGTATGCACGTGTGTACTACTCACGGGTGGTCAGGCTAGTCTCTCTTCCGAGATCTTTCGGTTGCGGCGGTTGATAGAGGAGATCCACGCGGAAAACTCCACCGAGGATTCTGTATTTTCGCAAATTCACTTGGATCTTCTCGCAGCGAGTGAACAAGAGCTTTCTAACTTCTAGCCGGGCGTTCTCTGCGGACAGAGTACGTACTTACATAAGTAGACCGTTCTATATAATAAGTAATTTTAGTACTTCGATACCAAGTTCGAACTTGGAGCCTGGACGACGACCCCTTACCTTCCCTTTCGCGAACGATCTCGTTCGGCGTAGGCAAATAGGGTAACAGTTCCGTTTTCGAGGGCAGCATGGAGGTTAACGTCGACTCGAATTCCGACTGTTTGCCCCCCCTCGCCGATTGTAATTTCCTCTGCTTCTTGCCGCCGCGTTTTCTTCCTCCGTCGAGCCTCGGTGAAACCGGCGGGTGTTCCATCCTCTCCAGTATCTCTTTCTTCTCTTCCAAGCGCAACCGTCGATCCTCCGCTTGTTCTTCGCGTATTCGAACCTTCTCCTCCTGCTCTCTTCTCGCGAATTCCAGAAGATCTGGAAGAAAGTTGGAGGATCGAATAGGAACGCGATCTCCGTGGGCAAGTGCCGAGTGACCTAACCGAGAGATTCGAAGGAAGTACGAGTATCCCAGAGACGGAGCAGATGCTCCGGTAACGCGGGTATCCGATAAGAATCCGCTTCGACCGAGTAATGATCGTACTCGAGCCAAAGCCCTCTGATCGCCATACGATGACAATCTACGTCGCTCGGCATTTTAATCGTCACATCCATCTGCTCGAATTCCACTTGGATCGATTTTCTGTCGGGAACGTTCTGTCATCGTTTATACACGATATACGCGCCTAAGTACGTATGCACTGTATACCGATGTGCTATCAAGGAGGGTCTTTCCCTGTCCGCTCCCTGCCGTTTCATGCCGACGGGCATCGCGATCGGCGCCCAAACGCAGCACACCGCTTTGTTGGTAACTCGAACGTATCTGGTCGTCTTCGTGTCTTCCCTGATCATGTTCACCTCGATGTTGCGCAACAAGCGGTAGCACGCGAGGTCTATCCAACGTTGCAGCCTGATCCGGAGCTCGGACGCGATCTGTCGACGGGAAAAGCGTGTAACGGGGTGTCACCGTCCTCGCCGCGCGAACCATATGTACTACGTACTTACCAGCTCGCATTCGAGCTCGTACTCTTTCGAGACGATCGTTGAGAACCGAACAATTCTACCGAGTTTGCTCAACAGCTGGAATATACGTATAGAGTAGGAAAAGCAGTGGGGGGAGGGTTAAAGAGTATGTACCACCTACGTGCGTGACCAGGCGACATCTCTCCTCAACGGTGTCCATGGTGGCCGCCTCCTTCTCTTCCGTCGACCAGAGGAACAGAAACGTGTTCATGTCCGGCATCGATCCAGGATCCGGTAGACCGTCGCAAGTCATGTAGCGGGCCCACTGAAATTCCCGAGAAAATCCGTTGATGAAAGGGTCTCGCGGTCTCTGCACGATTATGGAATATCGAGCGAGCACGATCTGAAACCTTCTCCTCTTTCTCGAGGTTCGACACGTTCCCCGCGTACGCCGACCAATGCCGAGAGAGGACGTCTCGCGTTTCACCTAGCTGTTTCTGCCTATTCGCCGCCTCCTGCGCTTCCAATTCCGCCTTCCGTTTCTCGTTGTATCGTTCCAATCGAATATCCTCTTGCATGTCCTTAATCATTCGATCTCTGTGCGTGCAACAGTAGGCAGAAGTGGAGGAGAGGTGAGAAGGGCCGAGTACCAAAAATGTCTGGGATACAGTCTCACCTGATATTCTCGACTCGAGCAGTGGTGGGTCTGTCGCGGTCGGATCCGAGCTGAACGGACTCGGCGGTGGCCGTTTTGTCCCTCGGCGAATCCTTCCGTCCCTTCCTTCCCTTACGTCCTTTCCTCGACATTCCGATCGGTGTTATCGGCCGTGCGGCAGATGCCGCCCTCTAAATCGATCTAAATCTTCGGATAGAGTCGAAAGGGGTTTCTCGCGCGATTCGCCTTGACATCGTTCGTACAAGTATGCATATATGTACATGCATACATAAGTAGTTATGTATGTATATCGTTAGCCTATTGACGCCGAGACGAATCAAAGGTGCATGTACGCTTTATAACCTGCCACTCCCGCCATCTTTCCACCTGTAAACGGAACCGATGAATGTATGTATGTATGTATGTACTGTAAACGTAATATTTCTCTACCAAGGATAAAACGCGCCGCGGAGCGTGGATCGATTTCGGTCGATCGGTCAGCGCGACGCTATCTTCCTCTTCGTACTCGTGGTACGAGAGCTGCTCCTCCGGCGGTTCGTCCGAGAATCTGCCAGGTTGCTCGGTTTCTTCCTCCTCCCTGCAAAACCCAATTCATCTCCGTTCAGCTTTCTCGCGTCCGAGTCGCCGCGCCGCGCCGCGTTTCTTCCAGACCTGTCCGCACTATCCGCACTATCCGCATTATCCGTACTGTCCGCACGTGGAAGCGGCAAATCGATCAGGCTAGTCGAGTTCATCGTTTGACGAGAGAATTGACAGAACAACCGAACGACGGGGGGGGGGAGAATGAGTAAAAGCGAGGAAGATGACGGTGGTGGTAAATAATACACGGTGGTAAGATCGATCGATGGACAATGAACCAATGCATATGCAAGCATTTGCTCTTTTCAACCTCTTTGAATTAAAGCGACATTAACATAAAGGTCAATTCAAGTGTCATATCCTGCGGTTTTCCCGTGCAGTCGCCGGAAGTGCGATCGGCTAGTGTCCTCCGCGTTAGTTGGTGTTTAGTCAGAAAGTACGACGAACGTGGAAACGGAAGGAAAATTTACTATCGGAGAGAAACGAGGAACGTTGGTGGTATCGTCGCAGCACGCCATGTCTGTAAGTTTTTACGAAATTGTTCGCGTTATTCAATTAGGTTCCGTTCACGATGGAAATCTTAGTTGCAGATACTGGACGGTAACGATAAAGAAAAGAGATGGAAAGGGCGTTCGTCGATAGCCACGTTCTACGCTGGACGAAGTATCTTCGTGACCGGTGGCACGGGCTTTTTGGGAAAAGTGTTGATCGAGAAACTGCTCAGATGCTGTCCGGATATCGAAGAGATATTTCTATTGATGCGACCGAAGAAGGGACTGTCGATCGACGATAGATTGAAAAAGATGGTGGAACTGCCGGTAAGGGGCTAATTGGTTGGATCGATTCGCGTATATACACAGACTTCCCTCCATCTGGTCTTGCTCTCCTTTTCTTCGCAGCTGTTCGATAAATCACGAGGGGAGAAGCCGTCCACCAGTTTCAACAAGTTGATCCCCGTTTACGGGGACATGACCGTCGAGGGCCTGGGCTTGTCCAAGATCGACAGGCAAACGATCGTCGAACGAGTCTCGATAATTTTCCACGTTGCCGCGAACGTTCGATTCCACGAGAACCTGAAGAAGGATATATTTGCGAACACTCGCTCGACCAGGGACCTTTGCATCCTCGCGAAGAGCATGCAGAATTTGGTGGCAAGTAAACTTACTTTCGTTCCCTCTTCGACTCGAAATCGCAATTCCCCGGCTCCCTCCTGTTCGTAGGCGTTCGTGCACGTTAGCACGGCGTTCTCGCAATCCGACAAGCCGGTGGTCGACGAGATCGTTTACCCTCCTATCACCGAGTGGAAGGACAGTATTTCTATGGTGGAATCTATGGACGAAGAAACCCTGCAAACCTTTACCAGCAAGTGAGTAGAGTAGTTTCCGACGGACTTAACTTGGCAAGCCTTCTTTGACAGATTTCTCGAACGGTGCGTAGGTACTTGGGTTCGATGCCGAACACGTACACCTTCAGCAAGCGACTGGCGGAACAGGTGATAAACGATTACTCCAAGGATCTGCCCTGCGTGCTGTATCGTCCGACAATAGGTATATCGCAGCATACGCGGTAGTATTACATATTTCGATAAGAAGAGCTAAAACGCAAGCTTCTTTGCCTTCCGCGTGCCGCACGCAATAGTGATATCGACGCTCGAGGATCCTATGGCCGGCTGGCTGGACAATTTCAACGGCCCGGTGGGAATGTTGATCGGTGGCGGAAAGGGAATATTGCGAGTGGCCCGAATGCATCCGGACATATCCGGGGATTATATTCCCGTCGATCTAGCTATCAAAGTTATGGTAACATCCGCGTGGAAACGAGGATTGCTAACGTACGGACTTTCGTAAACGAACTTTATAATGAATAATAAAAATTGGATCGATGGCCGAAATATTTTCAGGTTGAACGAAGATCCGAGCGTTCACGTGTACAACGGTAGCTCTTATCAGATCCAGCGGATAATTAACAAAGAGTTGGTCGCGATGGGCTTGAGAACGATACGACAAATACCGCTCGAGGGAATAATCTGGTTTCCCCGAACTCTCCTCACGACCAACCGCCTCTTTCATTACGTGCTAACGTTGTTCGTTCACTTGCTACCAGCTCTGATCATAGACGGTGTCTTTAAAATGACATGTCGCCAAACGATGTGAGCCATCTTCCTCTCGCTCTCGCTCTCTCTCTCTCTCTCTCTCTCTCGCTCGCTCGCTCTAAATCTTTCCTCCGATTTGCCACGTACGCACATACAGGTTGATCAAACTTCAGAAAACGATCTACTCCAGTATGGTGCAGCTATGTTACTTTACCCACAACGAGTGGGTCTTTAAGAATTCCAAGATGTTGAAGATTCTACGGACGGACATACCGGCAGCGGAGCGTGAAATTTTCGGCTACGACTACAGGAAGCTGGATTCGCAGAAATATTTTCAGTGAGTAGGAAACGAAGGTTCGTTATCGTTAGCAGACGTTTCACCAATTAACGCCTTGTCCTGTGAGCAGCAACTGCGTCGTCGGGGCGAAACGTTATCTCTTGAAGGAAGATTTGTCGCAGTTGGAGACAGCGAAGCGGCACTACAACAGGTAAACACGGAGCATCGAAACAGATTCCACCGACTAACGTACCATCCACTTCGAAATACAATTCCGCTCGCGAGGTTTGTTTGTTCGATCGCGCACCCCACCCTTTCCTTTCGTCCCGCGACCGACGTCATTGGTCGACGGAAGTGGCGAAGAACGGGAGATGGC